CTGCTACTACTGCTACTACTGCTACTACTGCTACTACTGCTACTACTGCTACTACTGCTACTACTACTACGGTTGATGATTTTACGGCTATTTGCATGCGAAAATAGGTAACTCGCTTACGATTGCTTCATAAACAATGTTAAACTGGGCCTGTGCCAAAAGCGTGCACAAGCGCATAAATAATACAGACATGCGCCGAACCGTGAAACCCTCCCTTTAAAACTTTACATTTACTCACCTTAGGATCTCACAGAATATTTATTGACTAGCAGTATTCGTTATTGGTAGGTTTATAATATTAAAATTGGTTCTGCATTTTAAACTCTTTATCAACGGAAAAAATATATAAAAAATTGACAGTATCACATGTTTCATTTAATTACTCCACAAAAATTTACAGCAGAAAAAAATGCAATAGCTTATTTGAAAGGCCACAAAATATCCTTTCTAGGGAAAAAAAACAATTTTCTTCCTGATAGCTACAACTATTTCCAAAACAGTTTGAAGTAAAAACTAACGGTAAAAAGTGCGCGACGTTTCGACCGAACTTCAGTCATTGTCAAGCTCAAAAGAGAAAATAAAATTTTGCATGAGTTTAAATATAAAACAAAGAAGTAAATATGTGTAAAAGTATGAAAATGTTAAAAAACGGCGTTAAAAGCAATAAAAGCATGCAAGAATAACATAATTAAAAATGATTAAAAACCTTCGCACGAATTGAATTGAGTGTGACTGTACATTGAGACTCGGTCTCAGTTCAGTAATAAAAACATTTCATAAATGAGACAGTCAATCTTGTTCTTGCACTTTTTTAAGATGGTAAAATTCTTGTTAAGATCCTTGGGCACGTATCTAAACATGTTTCGCACGGAAATGTTTTCCAATGGAGGAAGACGCATTCTTGTGCTCGTCTACGCGTTGATGCAAATGCCGCCGTGTGTAACCCTCATAAACTGCATCGCACATGTCACATTTAAATTGATAAACAAGGGATTATTGGTTAACAACGGACGGCTTGACTTCGCGCAGTTTCAAATGTTGTTTGAACTTGTGGCTAACAAACGTGGGCTGGACAGTCATTTGAATTTTCTGGATCAGATCTTTAAGTTGTGGTCTTAGCTTTAGATGGCATAAAGCGAACACGATCTAATTCATTGTTAACAGCTGGTAATTCGGGAACAGGTTAATCAGAAACTTTGACTGCAAGAGAAATTGGTGGAATCAATTAACCTGTCGAGAAAACACCATTTTGAGTCAATCACATTCCTCGGAAAAGTAGGACCAGTTGGAAGAGAGGCGGAAGGCACGATCAAACATAGTTTTCGGCGAACCGCTTGTAGCGGTCATCAACATGACTCTTGTAATGCAGCAGAAGGCCAATGTTGGTAGGTTTGACGTCAGTATACTTCGGTTTGGATTTGTATAGATTTTTCAAGCAGCTGTGTGCCGAGAAATGGAAGTATTCCATTATTCTCCATCTCCATAGT